TCCAGCACTCTGGGAGGCTGAGGCAGGCGGATCACAAGGTCAGGAGTTCGAGACCAGCCTGGCCAATATGGTGAAACCCGTCTCTACTAAATACAGAAAAATTAGCCAGGCATGGTAGTGGGTGCCTGTATCCCAGCCACTCGGGAGGCTGAGGCAGGAGAATCGCTTGAACATGGGAGGCAGAGGTTGCAATGAACTGAGGTCACACCACTGCACTCCAGCCTGAGCAACAGAGTGAGACTCCATCTCAAAACAAGAACAAACAAAAAACTAAACTAAAAATAGAGCTATCATATGATCCAGCAATCACACTGCTAGGTACATACCCAGAAGAAAGGAAGTCTGTATACTGAAGAGACATCTGCATGCACTCCCATGTTTATTGCAGCACTATTCACAATAGCCAGGATTTGGAAGCATGCTCAGTGTCCATCAGCAGATGAATGGATAAAGAAAATGTACGTATACACAGTGGAGTACTATTCAGTCATAGAAAAGAATGAGATCTTATCATTTGCAACAACATGAATGGAACTGAAGGTCATTATGTTAAGTGAAATAAGCCAGGCACAGAAAGACAAACTTCACATGTTCTCAGTTATTTGTCACTCAGCAAAAAATTAAAGCAATTGAACTCGTGGAGATAGAGAGTAGAATAATGGTTACCAGAAGCTGGGAAGGGTATTGGGGGTGGGGGGCGTTGTTAATAGGTACAAAGAAGTAGTTAGAATGACTAAGAACTAGTATTTGCTAGCACAACAGGGTGACTATAGTTAATAATAATAAATTGTACATTTAAAAATGACTAAAAGAGTATACTTGGAATGTTTGCAACACAAATGATAAATGGCTTCAGGTGATGGGTACCCCATTTTCCCTGATGTGATTATTATGCATTTCATGCCTGCATCGTAATATCTCATGTACCCCATAAATATGTACACCTACTATGTGCCCACAAAAATAAAAAAATTATGAAAAATGTAAAAGCAAGGTACAGACTGGGAAGAAATATTTGCAGTACTTCTATTGAACATAGGATGTATATCCAGAAGGAACTTTTACCATTCAATGCTCAGAAGTTCAACAATACGATAAATTAAAGGTCAAAAGATATGAGGAGACACTTTCCAAAAGTATGAATGACCATATTAAACATTGTCATCATTTGTCATCAAGCAAAAGCCAATTGAGATGCCAAAAAACAAAGAGATGCCGTTACAAAAACACTAGAATGGCCAATATTAAAAACACCATTTTTTACATTGTTCATTTAATTGTAAAATGGTAAAACTACTTTGGAGAACAGTATGGCTCTTTTGAATAAAGTTAAACATCCATTTAACTATATAACCCTGCAATTCTACTATCAGGTATTTGCGCAAGAAAAATGAAAGCATGTCCAAAGGAAGGCTCGTACGTTAATATTATAGCAGCTTTATTCATAACGGCCAGATACTGAGAACAGGCCACATGTCTATCAACAGCAAAATGTATAAACAAATTTTGTTATACATCCACAACAGAATAGTATAGATCAAGAATAGTAATTAAATATTGATACTCAGTACGATATTGATGATTCTTAAAAATGTTTTTCTTAGCAAAAGAAGGCGGACACAAATGAGTATATACAGTGTCATTCAATCTGTATGATATTCATGAACATGAAACTCAAGAGTGTCATAAAGCAGATGAGTGAGTTTCTGAGGGTGATCGTGGGGCCTGACTGTAAAGGGAGATGAACATGTTTCGTATCTTGTAGTAGTAGCTGCAGGGGTGTGTACATTTGTTAAAATGCCTCAAACTGTTTAAAGTGAGTTTTGTTGCATGTAAATTATACCTCAGCACTGATTGTTTTTTAAAGTAGCTCTTTGAGTATTTGGAGGTCTCATCGGAGTTCGGTAAGAGATTTTGTAGAGGTGCAGCCTCCTAAATCTCACCATTTTCTTTCCTCTTCACCCGAAAATATCACAGTAATTCTTAAACAGAAAAAGATGAGAGTCTGATGGCTTTTGGAAATTCCCATGCTATTGATCACATATTGCCAACAGCAAAGGATTCATCCTGGAGATGCTTAAGACATAATGACCGACCCAGATTGCAAAGGATGAATGCTGGTCTAGGAAATACGAATACATTTGAAAACTACACTACACATAGTCTTTTTTATTTTAAAAAGTGCGTCATGTTTATTCCTAGTGAAATATTTATCATAACTCATGCATTAATTTCAGCAAGGTCGTACTTTGGATCATAGTGTAGACGGTAACAAGGAGCTATTGAAATGTTTTTAAACCTAGGAATAAGATGAGAGAGTAAAAGGGGATTCACACAATCAACAGAAACTTGTGAAAAGTGATGGGGAATAATCTTAAGATCCTGGAGTAAAAACACTTAGATATCTGCCCTTTTCTGGAATTTTTAGTTTTATGTTTTGTTTTTGTTGTTGTTACTCAAAAAACAAAGGCCATGTACGGTGCCTCACACCTATAATCCTAGCACTTTGGGAGGCTGAGGTGAGCAGATTGCTTGAGCTCAGATGTTTGAGACCAGCCTGGGCCACATTACGAAACCTCATCTCTACAAAAAATACAAAAATTATCCTGGCATGGTGATGTGGTGCCTGTAGTCCCACCTACACAGGAGGCTGCGGTGGGAGGATCACCTGAGCCTGGGGAGATCCAGGCTGCACTGAACCGTGATGGCACCACTGCACTCCCGCCTGGGTGACAGGGTGAGCAGGATTCTGTCCCAAAAACAAAAAAACCCAAAGAGTTGGAGTATTTCATTTCTAAAGTCTCTTTTATTTCTAACTTTTTGAGTCTAGAAAAGGTGAAAGTTTGTATGCCTGGTTTGATGCTATGATATTAATGTTAAGAATCATGGTGGGGTTTTGGTATATTTTGCTATATTTAAACCAGTGAATAAAGTGAAGGATATACTTCGGTTCTAATTAATTATTTCTGTATTTTCTTTGTAGGGATTAATCAATTCATGAGAGAGACAGTGAAAAATTGTAAAAGAGATGGGTTTGTTCAGACCATTTTGGGAAGGCGTAGATATTTACCAGGAATCAAAGACAACAACCCTTATCATAAAGCTCACGTATGTTGAAATTTTTTAGGAATTTTAACTTAACATTTCAATGACATGTACTTTTTCAGCAGAGTAAATACTACAAATGTCCATTTTAGGGATTACTGGCATATTAATTGTATCTTCTGTGTAGACAAAGTCAACCATTGGTTTCATTAAGGACTTCTGAAGTGATGGCACATGCCAGTATTTGCTGAACAGAGTCTGGGGGATTAATGTAAACATGTCTTTACTTAATAATACTTTAAATGTTCTGTTGCAGTAAACCAATTATTTGTTAGCTTAGGTAATAAGTTGTAAATAAACTTTTACATTTGCTAATTATTCTTTGTTTCCTATATCATATATTAATTTATCATATCATACCAAATTGCTAACATTCCTCAGAGTTTAGCCAGTCACTAAGTTTTGATTAATTTTTGGTTCATTCTACTTGTTTGCTTATTTTAAAAGCACTATCTGGCCAGGCACGGTGGATCATGCCTGTAGTCCCAGCACTTTGGAAGGCTGAGGCAGGAGGATTGCTTGAGCCCAGGAGTTTGAGACCGACTTGAGCAACATAGTGAGACCCCATATCTACAAAAAAAAAAAAAAAAATAGCTGACTGAAGTAGTGCATGCCTGTAGTCTTAGCTGCTTGGGAGGCTGAGGTGGGAAGATTGCTTGAGCCCAGGAATTGGAGGCTGCAGTGAGCCATGATTGAACCACTGTATTCCAGTCTAGGTGGCAGAATGAGACCCTATGTTAAAAACAAAACAAAAAAAAACACTGTCTCGTCAGAGATTATTAGGATATCCCAAATAGTGAATAAGGTTATTTTTAACAGCATTTAAAAGATTTATTGATATTTCCTCAAATTATGTTTAAGTCTCTTTCTGAATTCATTGGGATTCATGAAAGTATTCTGTGTCCCTGAGTATTTAAGCTTCTAGTGTAATTCAAATCTTCCTATTTTAACTAGATGTTTTTTGCCCTTTACCCATAACTTTGTGTTTTAGTGCTCATTAGACATTGCATGTAGTGAAAATACCCAGCTAAACTTCTGTCTGGAGCTCAAAGCCTTCCGAGCATTAATGCTTTTAGGGACTGTGGCTTTTTGTTACTTCTTTACTCTGTAGCCTCTCATATATCCACATGCAAATATCAGATATTTATCAGGCTTTTACTGTATCTCTAAGTGAACTAGTAACTTTAGTTGATGGACTAGGAAACCTAAGTTTTAAGTCTTGGAAGAGATAATGCAAACAAAATACATATATATATGAAAACATCATTGATATACTTAATTATTTAGGTTTCAGGGAGAAGGAAAGACTTAAACAGATTCTTGAAGGCTATTTAAAGTTTAGGCTGTTGGGAATGAGAAAGGATAACTGAGTGAGGACTGGCTAGAAGCCAGACTGGTAGGAATGGAGAGTCTGAGTTGTCATGTAGGGGTAGATAATTTTCTCCTGGATAGATGGAGCCAGCTGGAAGCTAGCTAGGAGACTAAAAGGCTTCTTCTAAATGACAGAAGGCTTTTAATGGCAAGCTGAGAAATTTGGACTTGATCTAATAGGAATTGATTATGTTTTCTGGAATTTGCATGATAAAACATGGAATATATAGTTATTAATGTAAATGAATCATATGTTTGTGAAAATATTATTGCACCTGAAGATGTGAGAGAGTAATAAGGCTTTTTCATGCCAAATACTTCAGTGTTAAAGTTCTGATTCATCATGTTGCTGCTGAGGAAAAAAATTCCAGCCCTCTGAATTAGGAATAGAGTAAACATAGCCAGGTTGTTTTTTGGTTTTTGTTTGTTTTGGTTTTTGCTTTTGTTCAAACTTTTGTTGTACTGAAAAGTACATTCTCACACATAGAGAATGTAGATTTCACTAAATTATCACAGAGCTACACCCGTGTAACTACCACTCAGGGCAAGAAATAGAATATTGACAGTGCCCCAGAAGCGCCCCTCATGCATCCTCCTAATCACCACCCATCGCCTTCCCAGAAAGAGCCACTGTTATAACTTCTAACACTGTAGTTTTGTTTTGTATTTTTTTGAGCTCTGTATACGTCATATATGTATATTTTTGTATCTAGCTTCTTTCAAAATTACGTGGGTAAGTCATTCTTGTTGTTTCATGTAGGAACAGCTGTATACTGTTATATGAATATACCATAATTTATCTGTTTTTCTCTTGATAAGAACTTGGGTTTTCAGTTTGAAGCTAAACTATTGTGTTTTTGAACATGATTGTACAAGGTTCTTGGTGCATTTATGTTTGGTAAAGACACAGTGGTAGGATTGCTGCGTATTTTCAACTCAGTAGATAAAGCCAAATTGTTTTCTGTGGAGATTACAGCAGTTTGTCCTCCCATCGTAAGAGTATGTGAGTCCTCGCTGCTCTGCATTCTTGTCGACACTTGCTATTAAGCTAATATAATTTTAGCTATTCTGGTGGGTATAAAGTAGTGTCCTGTAGTTTTAATTTGTGTTTCCTTGGCTGCTAGTGAGGTAACCTTACAAATGAGCAACCTTATAAATGTGTTGTTAGCCATTTAGTTATTTTTTCATGGGTAAATACCTATTCTGGTTTTCTTTTTAAATTTTCTGTTGAGTTTTCTGCATTTTTTCTTATCAATTTGTAGGAACCTGTTACTGGTTACATGTGTAGAAAATACTCTCTCCCACATTGTGTGTGGCCTTTTCTCCTTCTCATTAGTAATTTTAGTTGCAGAGAGAGGTTTCTGTTTTATTTTGTTTTTCTTAAAGACAGGGTCTCACTGTGTTGCCCAGGCTGGTTTCAAACTCCTGGCCTCAACTGATCCTCTTGTCTTAGCCTCTTGAGTAGCTGAGATTACAGGCATTTCATATACTACAAGTTGGGTACAGCTCAGGTGACAGAGGACTAGAGAATACCTCTCGTGTTACATTGACACCCCCCCCACCCCGCTCCCTGGAGTAGACCTTTTTCATTTTCTGAGATATTTTGGGGCACTGGGAATGATATTCATATATAGATGACACCTGGATATTAACCTAAACTGCCTCCTCTACTCTTCCAAGATGATTAATTTTAGTGGGCAGGAAGCACTTGGCAGCAGTCATTTCCAGGAAGTTATAACTGAATACCCAGGGATCTAGGATGTGCATTTTCACTAGCTGCTAAGGATTTGCCTCAGCAGCCCATGAAAAGCTCTGATTCACATCAGAGGGCTCCATACCTGCTGGGCTCAAACTCTATAAGACCAAGAAGCCATTGGTATAGAGGGTGTGCTTAGAACATTCCAACCCACATCCCAAAGAATGATATTCTACTTATTTAGGATTAAGATTATTTTGAGTAGTAGATCTTTTAGAATGATGCCTAGAACAGCCAGAACACTGATGAGCTAAATACATTCTAAGTGCAAAGTAGTTTTTGGATCCTAAGTAAGTAGTCAAGATACCTAAGCTGAAGCAATCTGACCTTCTTGTATTTTTGTCTGCCCTAATGTGGAAACCCCAGAATCTAGAGCCCTGGATCATGATAGTTGTTATTCTTAGGATGCATCCTGATAGTTGGTGTCTTGGGTCACATCTCAGTCCAGCTTTCCAGTCTGGCTGCTAATGTGAGCACTGATCTGTGGACACTGAAGGAAGGTATGAAATCATGTTGGCATATCTGGTGGAGCACCTGTTAATTGTTTTTTATAGGCTGAGCGTCAAGCTATCAACACAACAGTCCAAGGATCAGCAGCTGATATTGTCAAAATAGCCACAGTTAACATTCAGAAGCAATTAGAGACCTTCCACTCAACTTTCAAATCCCATGGCCATCGAGAGGGTATGCTCCAAAGTGACCGAACAGGTTTGTTCATAGATGAGTCCTATGCTGTGACATGGCGAGAATAATTATATCGGAAATGTAAATGGGAAGTATTTTTTATTTTATTTCTCAACAGTTCTCAAATGTTTTGGTCTCACGATGTCTTTAGACTATTAGAAATTATTAAGGATTTCAAAGAGCTCTT